CGTTCATAACACCACATTTAGCTGCATGAAAGAATACAGGACAATCGTTAAAATTAATTAGACTCTTGCTTTAGCATGAGACACAAGGAGATTAGAACAGCAGTATATTTAAAGTAGAGGAGCTCTATTATTGAAACTAGTATTATTTAAAGTTATAGACGCGGAGAAGTTTAGAATTATTGATTTTGACTGCATGATCTTGGTAATACGGATATTTAAAGCAGTGTTTTCAACCTCTGAACCGTGGCTCGTTTCTCATTTAAGAACAATCACATGCACAGATGAAACTGGTGCTAGAAAGAGAACTGCAGCTTTTAATGGACGCTGCATTTAGTACAAAATGGTTTGTTCAGACAATTAAAGTTTGAAAAATGATTTAAAGCATTTCTGAATTTTGGCTAAAGGTGATATTGGATCATTTCTGATAACACATAGACGCAACACTGTTCATTGGTTGAAAACAAAGATGTAGGGACATTTTTTGAAATCTTTTATGACATGTTTCTCTTCCAAATAGCTAAATTAGAAACAATTAGGACAATTATGTCTTTGATATAACTGTTGGCAGTTTATCTGAGACATGATTGGCGCAAGTACACACACATAAAACAATGGTCTTTTCTCCACATGAACGTGAAACAAAGGTGAAGTATTAAAGTTTGAAACTAATTTACATTTTTAAGGAATCCGAACTGGCTTTAAAAAAAAAAAGGGAAAAACATTTATTGCACGTGCATGAGTTTTTTTTTTAGTAACAAGAGCTCATTAAAAATATAGGGGACACAGTTTGTGACAAGCCCGAGTAAAGACCACGTGGTTTAAACACTAAAGTTTGAAATGGATCCTTTTAGGAAAAATCTCTCAAAGCTTTGCATGTTCTGCAGGCTCTGAAAGTTACAACTATAAAATAGCTCATGAGACAATTGTAATTGGACATGGAAAAATATAACAAAGTTAAAATTACAGGCCTCTTGTGTTGTCTATATGTTTGTGTATGTTATATGTTTGTGTATGTTATATGTTTGTGTATGTTATATGTTTGTGTATGTTATATGTTTGTGCGTCATGTCCAATACACTACGTTGACCTTAACAAACTGGACCAATACTAACGTCGGCCTGTGTGAGTGGGATGTGAGTGTGATGTGAAATGAGGAGTGGACGAGGAGTGCTGAACGGAATCATGGAATAACAAAAGTTTTCTGTAATGTTTTAATGTGATCATGGAATAATTATTTTTTGTCAACAGCATACGGTGTAAGTACTAGAGATTCAAAGATGACAAGCTTTATTGAACAGGTGTAAAAGTGAGAGTACTCTGGGATGAGTACTCTGAGAAAAGTACTCTGCGGAAAGTACTCTGAGATGAATACCTTGCTGAAGGTATTGGGAGTCCCCCCCTCTGCTGTTTGCCCGGACAGTGATTCGGTCCAACCGCAGTGAGCGGTCATTGGGCGGAGGACAACTTTGGTTTGTAATTCACATTTAGGGGAGTATAAAATTAGAAACATACATTTTGTTAAGTCTGTATTTGGCTACAGCCTCTGCCCTGATGTCACACACCGTCTGTCAATGTAGTTATGTTTTGTCCAATTGGATTGATTGACAGGCCGCACCATGCGAAGAGAGGAAAGTGGGTGTTTCTTGTGTTCTAATGTTTGTTTTTCAGATGAAAGATAAACTGCACCTGCTTCAGGGATGACAGTAGTATGAATTAAGGAAATGAGCCTCTACTTTGGCACCAAAGCCCACAATATGAATTGAGGACGATCCGGGAGGAGCAACAGGATTGGAACAGTAATCTACACACACATACAGATGCATGTTTTATACTTTGGACCACGACCAAAAGAGGGGAGTATTGTATTGTCATAGGTGGTCATGGTCCTTAACCTTCTAAATCATTAGAAAGAAGTGTAAAACATATATTTACAAGAACAAATAAATAATAGAAAGGGCAGCCTAAAAAAGCAAAATGGGAAAATTATTAAGTAATTTTCGGAGTATAGGGGGTCATTCTAAATTTAGTGTTGTGCAAATTCAAAAGGAGAAATAATAGCGCTTATAACATCAAACGGATCTACTCTTTAAGATAATAGATCATATAATAATAAGATAATAATAGAATAGAATGAAATAGTCTGGAGCTATAATGTCATTGGATTCGAGGAGCTATAGGTTGAAGTGTCAGAATAAACAATAGTAATAATAGTTAGACTAGTGAATAATCAAAATAGTTCTATTGTGGAAATAAGTATCAATAAGGTCAAATTGTTCTAATAACTAAAGTAAAAAGGAATCAAATGGAGTCAGATTTTAGATGTTTCTGTTTTCCACATCTGTAGGAACTGGTGCAGAGGTGTTTATAGAGAGTAGTATTAAAATGCAGACATAGAACGACAGGCTTTAACACAATTTTAAATCTAAAAATAGCTCAAATATAACATTGCTCTTGACGCAGCCTCTGAGCTGCTCCATTGGAGAACAGGTTAAATGTTATTGTTTATTACAAACAGCTGATGTATTTACACACATTAAGTTTGGGACAACTCTTTAAACAGTTATAAGCAGTGGACAGAAGCCATGAATGTGCTTTTGTTTATTAAATAATTAATTCCATAGCCTTATAATCGTAGAGAACGTTTTAAAATAGTTAAAATCCCTTTCAGGCAACTTGATTTAGATGTATGTCTTTAATATTGGAGAACGACTGTGTTGTTTTTGGAATTGTCTGAAATACAATACATAGAATAATGATTTGCAGAACAAGAACCGGCCAATAAAAAATCGTCTATTGCCAATGCAATTGTTACAATCAGAACTCAAAAATTGGGAATATGCCTTTGCTCAAGCTGCAACCGAGCTTTAGAGTCACAATAGAGTAAAAATAGGAATAGATAAATGCATCAACGATAGATGCTTTCAAAAATAGAGATTATTTTTAGCCAAGGCTAATATCAAACGGTAAAAGGACCATTTCCTTCATATTATGTCTAAAAGTATTTACTTCAAAGGTAGATAAAGTTCATTACAGTTTATGCACAGTTTTATTAGATACTGTCAAATTCACTTGTTTCAAACATGGGTGAATGTTGACAATGCAAAAAGCTAATGAGATAGATTAATGAGATCGATTAGAACCAACACAGATTCAAAAACATTTGAAAGCATTTTAATGTATTTGGGTAAAGCACAAAAGTAGATATTTAGGTATTTTTGAGAATTTAAAAAAACTGTTGATTTGTCAGCAACAGATTAGAGAATCAAATACCGTTGTATAGGGACTGACCCCAGAGAAACCTGCTAAAATAGATTAGCTCCTGTACGGATAATACCAATTTGATTAACGATGTACATTTATCCCAAACTGTCTTGAGAGGAGGAAGTGACAGCACTTCCTGGTTCAACAAAATGTGTTTGGAAAAATGAGCAAAGCCCCACAAAATGGCACAAAGCCACTGATAATGACAGCAAACCACAGTATAGATAGATTTATTAGATAAAAACATATGTTTAAGAATAGGGCTCAATAAAAGCAAAATATGCAAACATATTTGTAAATAGATTAGAATAGTTTAAACTATAGTGAATAGATTCAGTGCATACATTACAGACGAGGTTGAAGAAAGACTCAGAAGGACATAGCAGTAGTCATCAAAGAGTTTAGTGAAGGAATGTTTCGAATGTGGTTTGTTGTGTGTTGTTTGTTTTCTCAGTATTAACTCTTCACAGATAACGAGCCAGAACCAAGGCGATGATGGAAGAGTTCCCCAGTCCCGTCACCCAGAAGGGATATTGAAAGATTGTGACCTAAATTGGTTTAATATAGGTCAAAAGAGGGAATAATGCATCATCTCAAGAAATGCTGCACACGTTGTTTATATTTTCAGTGATTTCATATTAAGTGGGGTCTAGTCGAGTCAGCCAGACCATGTAAGGAATGCAGAGCTCCCCCAGCCAGATAAGAGTTGTTTGGAGAAGGAGATTGATGTCAGACCAGACCAAGACCAGACCAGACAGAGTCCGGAGTCCAATGGGCTAGCTGGAGTACGCGCCTCCCAAAACCAGAAAAAGCTGGATCAGACTGGACCAGTCTGGGACCTGTGACGTCATCAGACTTTCTGATAGAAACTGCTCGGAGGAGATTTTCAGGCAGTCTGAGCAGGGATAGTTAGACAGGGAACATCGCAGAGCGCCTGGATGTCCCCTGCACATTTTTCAGGCCTGGAGGGACAGTTAGAATGGCTCAGCATAGGGTTAGTTTTAGAGAATTTAGGGCTCCGAGAGTTTTTGTATCAATATTTAATTGTAAAGAGAATTAAATGTTCTATTTTTAACTCCTGCATTCTTGGCCTTGTTTCTGTATCAAATTCTGAACACGTCAGTCAAATCATTTTTTGACATCAAGAGACGTCGCTTTGTGGTAAGAAAAGAAATTCATGTTTTACTGTCTGGTTATTCAATGTTACTGCCAATGGTTCAGTAAAAATCTTTGTTTCAGGTGATCCCACACAGCCGGATATGGACATAGTTTTGGATGTCAATGGAAATTTCTGACGAATACAGGACACTGTTGCTCCTGAGTCCACAAGAAACTTAATCTTCTGTCCATTTATCTTCAAGACCACCATTGGCTCGCTTTTCCATGGTTTTAGCGATTGGTCTGACTGTGGGCCTCTCTAGCATTCATTATACCCATCAAAACATTGGACATCTCTTCCATCATGGTAGTTGGATCCGATGTTCATTACTCTTGGGCCGTTTGGTGGGAGTCTAGGTGCAGCCGTCTGTGGGTGCATCATGGGTTGCATCATAGGTGGTTGGTTTGATGATTGGATGAATCGTTGTTGTGGGTCAAAGCCTTGTGGTTGTCCTTGTGGCTGTGTTGCACAATCTCTGCTCCAGTGGCCTCTTCCTCCACATGTGAAACATGCACCGAATCCTTTATCCTTTATCAATCTCGGCCTTGGACCATTATAGCCCCTTCCTCTTCCTCTGAACTTAGAGAAACTGCGAGCGTATATTGCTGTTGGCGAAAATGTTTGTGGTGGTTGTGTGATCCCCATCAGCAGAGTCTTGTTGTACAGTCATCAGTCGAGAGGTTTTCTCCTTCTTCTTGTCCTTGACCTCTTCTTGGAGTTTATGTAGTTGCAACTTCATAGTGGCCAGCTCAAGTTCCTGCTTCTTGGAGTCTGTTTCCTTCTTGTTATTAATCCACTTGGTCACATGATGATTGCAATGTGCATCAAAGTCTTCTTCAGTCTTAGTGTACAATCCCATCACTTCACTGAGGGCGTCTTGTATGGGTTTAGGCATACCTTTCACCAAGGCTGAGTAAAACATGACTGTCATTCCGGTGCCTGTTTGAATTGGCTCACCTGTAGCATCATGATATAGAGCAGTGTCTCCCAAAGTGGGGTCCGCGGCCCCCTGGTGGGCCGCGAGGGTACTGCAGGGGGGCCGCGGGAGGTCATAAAAAAAAAATATATATATATATATATAATTATTTAATGTTAAATTTATAATGTTTTGTTTGTAATATTAAAATATTTGTGTTCATTATTTGACTTGAATAATCCACTGTAATCATTTTTGTATTACAATGTTTGTAGCAGAGGCTATTTCCCCAAAATAAAATAACCAGAAGAGCCTATTCTTAATGTTTGTGTAAGCCCTCAGTCGTACAGGGATTAGTCAAAGCAAAGGAAGGTTTCTCACCCATCATCTGTACTTCTTAGCAAGTTTTCCCGACGTTTCGTCCTCAACCTGGGGACTTCTTCAGGGAAGTCCCTGAAGAAGTCCCCAGGTTGAGGACGAAACGTCGGGAAAACTTGCTAAGAAGTACAGATGATGGGTGAGAAACCTTCCTTTGCTATTCTTAATGTTGTCTTCTTGGTTATTATTTTGGGGGGCCACGCAGACCCTTCAAATTTTTAAGGGGGCCTCGGTGTTACTGAGTTTGGGAATGGCTGATATAGAGTTTTAGCTCGTTGTTTGTAGCTGTAGTAGTCTTCATCATTTTTCATCTGCAGGGACATGAGTTCATCCGTCAGAGTGCATGGATATCTCGTCTTCAGTTCTTCCTCCAATGCTTCACGGAAAATCTGAATGGCAGCAGTCTTCCGTAGTGGTATTCTGATCTTCCTTCCAACTGCAGCTTCAATTCTTTCTGCGACTGTTTCATCTGCGGCTTTGGTCAGGGCGGCATGTATATCTCCCCAGCATAGTTTATCACCAGCAGTCTGTTTCATCAGGGCCCTCATCTAGGGCACTCCACCCTTCGTCAGCTTCGGTAGGGTGAGCATCAGAGAACTCCAGTCTTTCAGAGAGAATGGTTGATAAATCATCTGTTGATTTTCATTTGTCCTCAGTGGATAGATAGATGCGGAATGCTGACTCATTGAATTCATCAGCATCAATGATTCCTGTGAAAAATCCTGTTACCTCAAAAGGCTCTTTAACTTGCATATGCCTTCTTGTTTCTCTGGCTACGTCACCCCTTTCTTCTGTGGTTGGTCCTTGACTTCTCAGACAATCGGTCCCTCCAAACTCTCTTGAAGTCTCTACAATAGAAGTCAGAGCAGTCACCTGGTTTTGAATATCCTGGAGCCTCCTCTCTGTGTTGGAGGGTGGGCCAACTGGTGTCAAGGATAGCGCTCCTCCCATCACCTTGTGGGTCATCTGCGTTGGGGTTGTTCCTTTAGAAGAGATAACTGTGCTGGGTGTAGGATGATAAGGAGGGGGGTTTTTAGTCAAACGTGAATCATCATTGAATGAGATTAAGTCTTGAGTGGATGACGGATAATACAAAGTGCCCTGCAAAAGGGGAACATCTTCAAGGTTTTGCGATTTATTTCTTTTTCTCATGTGAGTGGTCAGCTCTCTCCTTCCTTCGGGTGTGATCGACGGCCTCTCCTTTGATTTTTCTCCTTCCTCAGAGTCACTGCCACTGGCATCTCGATGGTGTTCAGTCTGAGACCGTGTGTTATACCTGTGCTTTTCCTTGTCCTTCAACACAGGGTAAACGCCCTCAGTGGAGTCTCTGTGGATTCTCTCAGGAAATGTCACTTTCTTATCTGTTGGTTTAATCACAAGAATTGAAGACAGGTCCCTCAACTCTGAGGAAAGATTCTTTGACTTTTTCATCTCCTTTGCCCATCGGCACATTTTCTTAGCCAGTGCATTTTTGTTCTCATGTTCTCGAATTTTAGCATTGTTGTTCTTCTTTCCAAGAGGAGCTAAATTAGGATGTGTTTGATAATATAAAATCTTCCCTTTGTGGTAGTCTAAAATCTTCTTCCATTGTTCTTCTGTGGGTGCAAGTGCCTCTTTGCCTCCATCAATTATTTGCTTCGAGATGTATTTTTTAAGCAATTCTTGTATGATGGACTTCATCTTCTCGAACCTTGTTGCTCCAGAACTCCTCCACTTGTTTTAGTGTGATAAATTGGGACATTATTGGTATGTGCCTATTGTTTATGTTCTTATTTATTTCTAAATGCACTTCCAGCAATCTAATCGCATAAATGAGTTTCCTAGGGTAGTTGAGGGAGACTGTTACCCCTACCCCGTACTACTCATGCATTCAATTAGATTTCCCAGAGCACAGTGTCTTAATTATGAGTGCAAAAATTTGAATAGTGTAAAAAATGAAGACTATATTGAATTGTGTTTTGCAAAAATTTGAAGATTTACCTTAGCATGTACTGGATGTGAAATCAAATGGGCTGTTTCGTAGTGGTTTTGAAGATGGCTGTTTCAGATTCCTCCTTTACGGCCTATGCGATTGACCCGATCAGATCTCTTCTATTTTTCTCCCCGTCTGCGTTGAGACACTAGTTTTTGGTCCTGAACCTCGCACTCCCAACGCGCTCCTAGTATTTCTCTAAAACACAAGAAACATTTTCAACAAATCAACTTGCACAATCAAACTTTTTAATCACTAAACATTTATATGCTTTATTTATTTATCTAATTATTATACTGTACATATATCGAGTTTTAGAAAACGAAATTCGATATTTTAAAAGTAATCATAAAAAATAATGATATTCGAACAACCAGTTAGATAACCCTTATCATTTTAATATTGAGCTGGCATGAAATCTGTATACTAGCTGCAAATGTTAACTATTCACTTCTATCATAGACAGTAATGCTCAGATAAATGATCTTATTTTACAACAAGCCAGGGTGTATACTGTAGGTATACAACTGTCAGTTATTATACACTTGTTTATAAAACATGAAGACAGCATATGATTACTGTCCGTTATTACATTGTCAAGGAGAAACCTTTTGAAATATGGAAATAAATAAAAGACATCTTTCATGATATATTTTGATTGCAGAGACACTCTTCTAAAACTATTTATTTATTTTTGTTTAGGTAAAGGTACATATGAGTTAATTGCTTTATCCAAGACATAGATTATTAAAGATAAAATAGGTAGATTTTAAATCTGCATACACTGCCCTGTGATGAACAATAAAATAGCTGCTATAACTTTTATATGCCCTGGGAGATTTTGCAAGCATTTATTGGTTACAATAAATATTCAAATTTTTAATATAAATAAAACACTGAAAATCAAAAGTTTTATTTTTAGTTTAAGTTTAGGTGCCAATCCTAATACATATATATAATTTTCCCTCAGAGTATTTTATTGTCTAGTATACAGTATATACATGCATAGCCTTAATCATTTTAAAATCATTAAGTAAAACATTTTGTATACATTTTAATAGTTGTGATGGTTTAACATTTGTACAACATACTAGAATATTGAAATACTAACAATAATTATTTTTATAACATGAAAGTTAAAAAGGTGATATTTCTTATAATATTAAACATACATTTTTAGCTCTATTTGCTATTTAAACTAATATATCATTGAATGCGGCCAATATATTTGGATTAGCCAACTCACTTTACTAGCCTTTATTTTATCTTTAAAACATTTATTTGCATAAAAATAACACTATACCAGAAAAATAACCAGGTAAGCTATGCCAATAATATTATTTCACTGCAAACCTTTAACATATCTTTATTACGAGGAATAGCCTCTTGAGATGCATCATCTCGTTTTCAGGAGGGTCCTCAAAAATAGCAACACAAGTAGCAGCAGCGGTTGTCAAATAAATGCAGTTACAGTAAAGTGTAACAAATAAAAAACATAACAAATTACAGTAAATAAATTCAATAAAATAACAGACAAAAAAAACTAACAAAAACAATACAAGGACAGAAACATTCGCTCACACACACACACACACACACAGAGCTCTCAGAGGTCAGAGGTCACCCTACTCCTCAAACTAGGACAGTGAAAACCAAAGGATATAATATTTAAAGGAAAGTTCAGTAGCAGTTACAAACATTACACAGATGCCTTTGTACAGCAACTTTAAAAAGAGAAAAAGAAGTTAAGTTAAGAAGTTAAGAGCAAATAGAGGCCGGAAGGTGATTCCAGTCGTTTGGGGCTTTATATTGGAAAGCATATTTGCCAAGTTCTTTCTTCACACGAGGAGTGTGAAAGAAAAGCTGGTTTGTGTGACGAAGATTATAAGAGGAATTAAAAGGGGTTAAATATTGCTTTAAATAAAGAGGGTAATCAAAAAAATAACATTTATAAATGAAAAACAACCAGTGAGAGTGACGTCTTTGGGACAGAGAGAGCCAGGACAGCTGCTGGTGCCACAGTGATGGGTCCTGTAGGTCTGTCTGTAGGTCTGTCTGTAGGCCTGTCTGTAGGACAGCTGCTGGTACATGTCACAGTGATGTGTCCTGTAGGTCTGTCTGTAGGCCTGTCTGTAGGTCTGTCTGTAGGCCTGTCTGTAGGTCTGTCTGTAGGTCTGTCTGTAGGCCTGTCTGTAGGTCTGTCTGTAGGTCTGTCTGTAGGTCTGTCTGTAGGTCTGTCTGTAGGCCTGTCTGTAGGACAGCTGCTGGTACATGTCACAGTGATGGGTCCTATAGGTCTGTCTGTAGGCCTGTCTGTAGGTCTGTCTGTAGGTCTGTCTGTAGGTCTGTCTGTAGGTCTGTCTGTAGGTCTGTCTGTAGGCCTGTCTGTAGGACAGCTGCTGGTACATGTCACAGTGATGGGTGCTGTAGGCCTGTCTGTAGGTCTGTGTGTAGGTCTGTCTGTAGGTCTGTCTGTAGGTCTGTGTGTAGGTCTGTCTGTAGGTCTGTCTGTAGGTCTGTCTGTAGGTCTGTCTGTAGGTCTGTCTGTAGGACAGCTGCTGGTACATGTCACAGTGATGGGTGCTGTAGGCCTGTCTGTAGGCCTGTCTGTAGGTCTGTGTGTAGGTCTGTCTGTAGATCTGTCTGTAGGTCTGTCTGTAGGCCTGTCTGTAGGTCTGTCTGTAGGTCTGTCTGTAGGTCTGTCTGTAGGTCTGTCTGTAGGACAGCTGCTGGTACATGTCACAGTGATGGGTGCTGTAGGCCTGTCTGTAGGCCTGTCTGTAGGTCTGTGTGTAGGTCTGTCTGTAGGTCTGTCTGTAGGCCTGTCTGTAGGTCTGTGTGTAGGTCTGTTTGTAGGACAGCTGCTGGTACATGTCACAGTGATGGGTCCTATAGGGGCAGCGCAGAATGAACCTGCACAGGCTGTTGTAGGCAGTGCTCAGAGGATGGAGAGAAGTGGAGGTGGTATTTGATAAACTATGTCTGCATAGTCTAATATGGGAAGTAGTAGTTGTGAAATAATCCTTTTCCGTGCAGATAAATTAAAACAGTCAATGGATTGATAAAGTGTTTTCAGTGAATAGTTAATTTTGTGTACAGTTTTGTGAATATGGGTATTGAAAGAAAGATTTGAGTCTAGCCAAAGACCAAGATACTTAAGGTTGTCCACACATTTGACTGGGGACAGATCTAGAAAGTGGAGATTTAAATCAGGGAGAGGTTTATTGGTCTTCTTGAAAAGTATGGAGTAGGATTTGGTTTTGTTGAGCAGAAGTTTGTTAGAAAGGAGCCAGTGTTGAACAATGTCAAAGTTGTGTTGTAAAGAGTTGCAGATGTCAGGGATATTAGAATTGGAACAGTAAATAACAGTGTCATCGGCATAAAGTTCAATAGTGCAGTTGGAACAAATAGTCGGGAGATCATTAATAAAGATAGAGATGAGAAGAGGACCAAGTGAGGAGCCTTGTGGAATGCCTTTTTCAATGACTGTGAAGTTGGACTGGCTGCCCCCAAAGGAAACACACTGGCGACGAGAGTGCAGGTAGGAGTTGAACCAGAGAAGTGCTGGTCTGGAGAGGCCAATGCTGTGGAGTTTGTCCAAAAGTAAATAATGGTCAACCAAGTCAAAAGCTTTCGTCAAATCAAGAAATAATGCACCAGTGAACATACTTTTGTCAAAACTAGAAAACACATCATTTGTAAATTTCAGGAGGGCAGTAGTTGTACTGAAATGCTTTCTAAATCCTGATTGAGATTGGGATAATAGGTTGTTATTGGTGAGATAGGTTGAAAGTTGAAAAAAAATTAATTTCTCAAATATTTTGACAATACTGTTGATAATGGAAATGGGTCTGTAGTTATTGATGCTGTCAGTGGAACCTGATTTATGTAAGGGTATTACTTTTGCACATTTCCATGGTTGAGGGACATTACAGCTGGAAAGAGATAAATTAAAAAGTGAGGCTAGTGGAGAAGCCAGGACATGTGCACCTATTTTAAGAAATTTGCTCTCAATACCATCAGGTCCAGCACTGCTGTTGAAAGAAAGTTCACTTAAAACCTTAAGTACATCAACAGGACTAAACCTACTTATTATACATTATAAGACTATTTTTGTAAATGCTGACAAGTCTTTAAATAGAAATAAAACGCTTTCTGCTATATATTACCCTCCATGACAAACAAAGTAATCATTAACAAAATGCTATCTTTTTACGTGCAACTTTATACCTTGTATAGTGTAATTAATTTTAGAAAGCTGGACACAGAATACAGTTGTAATTAATGTATGTTCAATAATAGAATTGCAGTGATTATTAAAACCTTATAGTTGTATTATTTTCAACAATTACATTTTTTCTATTCTAACAAAGATACATGAAAACATAACACACAGGACTTCACTTATTTGGTTAATGGTTAACTTTTATCGCTGCTTCATGCTTATCTGAAAACAGGGAAGAAGACACCGCTTTAGATGGACTTACAAAGATAAGAACTCTTTATAAAGCGTTTGCTTATTCTATCTGTTTCTCTAATGATAATCAATGCATTCTAATTTTGGCTGTTTTTAAGGTTAGAAATCATATAGCTCAAATTGTTCTTCTTCATCTTCTTCTAGTGAAATGTCTTGGCTTGGCTCAGAAGGAACACTGGTGTGCAATAGCATTATCTTTGTAATTTTATTCTGAGAAAATTGGATAACACACGGGATCAATAGATATAGCAGGATGACCAGAAATAACATGCTGCCGAAAGCCATGAAGACAGATAAAAACATTACTGAGAAGGATCCTATGCTATTTTCAAGCATTATTCTCAACTTGTCATAGTCTTTCTGTAAATCTGTTAATGTTTGAAAAACAGAGGCGTTCATTGTACTAGCCAATTCTACTCTGCTTTCTAATGTAACATCCTGACCGTCTTCTGTTATTGGGATTTGAAAGGGCTCATCAGTAGGGTTAATTATTATGTCTACAGGCTTAACTGTGTTTTGAACGGATTTAGGGGCTTCTAGTTTAGCGGGTGTTGGTAAATAAAATATAGGAGGATTTTCAGACTGAAAGGGAGATATTTCTATTTTTTCTTCTGCTAATATCTTGTCATTATTGTTAATAACAGTCTCTACAAATTCAAAGATTGCATCCGAGGTTTTGGATTTATTCTCAGTTTCAGAAATAACTCTAGATTGAACACTAAAGGGCATGCCTGTTTCGCAATTGTGTGTAAGACTAGTTTGCGTTGTACCATTTGGGAATGAAATACAGATACAATAAACATCATAGTTTGCTATTATTTGATTTGTTTCTTGACCATGTTCGTATTTATTGATAGGAATGCTTTTTATGAATTGACCCTTATTGCATGGTTGGAATGCTATGTTTATTTGCGTTATTAAGCCTTCATCCACTTTACAGTGGCAAGTAATTGTATTCTCCTTTTTATTGTATGTTAAATGAATAGTTTCATCAACCAATAATTGTTCTGAGCTCAAAAAATTTACAAATATTATACAAAGGAATAAGTATACAAACATTTTTACCACTTAAACTTACTACTCTAACCACTTTTTATGTACACACATATAAATGTAATTATTGAATTTCTTACTTTAATTACTTTGACTACTTATCAAAAATAACCAGTTCTTTGAATTAACACGTTTTTTGTTTTCTTCTGACGCTGAAAAAATCTAAAAACAGCGCATACTAACAATTGTTTTTAAATTCTATTCTGCCGAAAAAACCTCGAAAAACGGCTTCTATCGCCCTTTTAAATTTTTCTCACGCCGAAAAAGCCTAGAAAACGGCGGTGATCGGTTTATAAAAAAATGCGCATATATATTTACAATATAAACAGGAACATAAAAGAGCCAGTAGCCAACCACATTGAAACTTTTTGATGTAAGACCAATTTAGCAGATTTTTAGAAAAGGCATCTGCAATTTCCTTTTGTGTGAGTAGATCTACTTGTACCTTTGTGGTGGAGTTTGTCTCTTTTATGGAGACTTCTGCAAAGCCAGAGAAGACGAAGCGTTGTCCTGGAGCAAAAAGGTGGTTGAAAAAATAAAAATAAAATAAAAAATTGTCTTTGTCTTGGGCTTTTTGTATCACGTCGGGGTCACCAAATTGTGAATTGTTCCCAGACGTAAGACAAAAAGAGACTTGGACAAACGGCGTAGTTCAAATAGAGTTTTTATTATCAGAAGGTTTGAGCGTAGTCTGGTCAAGCACAACGCAGCTCCTGTCAGAAGTCTGGCTGTAGAAGTCTGGCTGTACAGGTGAAGGGTGGCTACTTATATACACCTTAAATGTTTAGGTAAGCATAGACTTTGGAAGCATGACTATACAAAAGAAAGCGTATGGTTTCAATGTTCAGTTGAGATGGCCTAAGATGTCATAACTATGATCTAAGTATGACTTCGTAATGGACCAAACTCCAATGTACATGAGATAGTATTATCTCATGTACTATACATCAACACTTTATCTGTTTTATGCTTTTGTAAGCTGTTTAAAGTACAGGTGAACTGTTTAACATGATATTTTAGCAAGCAAATAGTAATTAAATATTCACAAGTACCATGTGGTCTCTCCCTATGGTCCAATACCATGTGGTCTCTCCCTATGGTCCAATACCATGTGGTCTCTCCCTATGGTCCAGTACCATGTGGTCTCTCCCTATGGTCCAATACCATGTGGTCTCTCCCTATGGTCCAATACCATGTGGTCTCTCCCTATGCTCCAATACCATGTTTTCTCTCTCTATGGTCCAGTACCATGTGGTCTCTCCCTATGGTCCAATACCATGTGGTCTCTCCCTATGGTCCAATACCATGTGTTCTCTCTCTATGGTCCAGTACCATGTAGTCTCTCTCTATGGTCCAATACCATGTGGTCTCTCCCTATGGTCCAATACCATGTGGTCTCTCTCTATGGTCCAGTACCATGTGGTCTCTCCCTATGGTCCAATACCATGTGTTCTCTCTCTATGGTCCAGTACTATGTGGTCTCTCCCTATGGTCCAATACCATGTGTGACATCACCACAGCCTTACTGCAGGAGAGGCTGATTGAACATAAGCTGGAGCCAGTTTCCTTATTTGGGCATCTGTAGCGACAGACAAAGCTCTCGATTTACCGGTCAGTCTTGGACGAGATTGCGGATACAATCGTCAAAATGAGCTTTCTCTAGAGACGCTGCTCCCTCAGGGTGCTAGTTACCATAGCAACACACGGCTAGCTTGCAGCCCATAGCATAGCATTTAGCTGCTTTTCATTTACATTCATCAGTTTTAGCATGAATTAAAGATAACTCCATGAACTAATTTAATCTAATACTTTTGTGGGTGATTTTATTTTAAAGCCGTCTCTGAGTTTGTAGCCTCAGTGTGGAGCAGGAGGTCAGGGCGGCGTGCTCCTGGTGGGAGGTCCTACAGGGCGGCGTGCTCCTGGTGGGAGGTCCTACAGGGCGGCTTGCTCCTGGTGGGAGGTCCTACAGGGCGGCGTGCTCCCGGTGGGAGGTCCTACAGGGCGGCGTGCTCCCGGTGGGAGGTCCTACAGGGTGGCGTGCTCCTGGTGGGAGGTCCTACAGGGCGGCGTGCTCCCGGTGGGAGGTCCTACAGGGCGGCGTGCTCCCGGTGGGAGGTCCTACAGGGTGGCGTGCTCCTGGTGGGAGGTCCTACAGGGCGGCGTGCTCCCGGTGGGAGGTCCTACAGGGCGGCGTGCTCCCGGTGGGAGGTCCTACAGGGTGGCGTGCTCCTGGTGGGAGGTCCTACAGGGCGGCGTGCTCCTGGTGGGAGGTCCTACAGGGCGGCGTGCTCCCGGTGGGAGGTCCTACAGGGGCCGCCCGGTGAAGGCTGAGGCTACTGCTGCTGTCAGCGCCTCCCTCCCCTCCTGAAGAACAGCAGCCCTGTGATCCCTGAGCCGTAAATCAATGAGGACGAGCCAAACATGAAATCAATGCTGGGAGAGGCAGGGGGAGGAGGTGGGAGGGAGGGGGAGGAGGAGGGAGAGGGAGAGGGGGGGGAGGGGGAGGAAGGAGAGGGAGGGGGAGAGCGAGGAGGCGGGGACTGAGGCTGTAGACCCAGGACTGAGGCTGTGGACCCAGGACTGAGGCTGTAGACCCAGGACTGATGCTGTAGACCCAGGACTGAGGCTGTAGACCCAGGACTGAGGCTGTAGATCCAGGACTGAGGCTGTAGACCCAGGACTGAGGCTGTAGACCCAGGACCGAGGCCGTAGACCCAGGACTGAGGCTGTAGACCCAGGACTGAGGCTGTGGACCCAGGACTGAGGCTGTAGACCCAGGACTGAGGCTGTAGACCCAGGACTGAGGCTGTAGACCCAGGACTGAGGCCGTAGACCCAGGACTGAGGCTGTAGACCCAGTAGGACTGGTACAGTAGCAGTATCTCTCTATCATCAGTGTCAGATCTTTGGCTCCAACTGAAGGCTCTGACATTTGTGCCTCATCCTCAGGTCAGTGATCGACCAGAGAAACAGCTGCTCCTCTGTGTGTGTGTGTGTGTGCACGTGTGTGTGTGTGTGCACGTGTGTGTGTGCACATGTGTGTGTGCACATGTGTGTGTGCACATGTGTGTGTGCACATGTGTGTGTGTGTGTGTGAATTCCTGTCACATTGTTCCTCATCCAAAACAGACCTGGAGTTCCTCAGGACTGAGGCTGTAGATCCAGGGCTTTGACTATGAATTTATATATAAATATAAATATAAATATATATATTAATCACACGCTCCTCTCAGCAGCAGGAGAACCTTCGATGCCCTTTGGCAACGCACTCTCTGCTTGTCTTTCAGATGTGTGGATAACTCCGACAGTAGTTCCGGCCACTCCGGAGCTCGCCACGCTCAATAAACACAAATACCAATCAATGCCATTAAATGTTCAGACCAGACCAGACCAGACCAGACCAGACCAGACCAGACCAGACCAATTTAAAAACTTTACAGTTCAGCCAAAGTGCTGTACACAAAAACAAAAACAATGACTAAAAAATACATATAAAACAATATTACCTAAAATCAAACATCATCAAAAGCACATGAAAAAAGATGAGTTTTAAGAAGTGACTTAAAAACAGGCAGAGACTGAGTCTGGTCTCAATGGGTCTGGTCTCAATGGGTCTGGTCTCAATGGGACTGGTCTCAATGGGTCTGGTCTCAATGGGACTGGTCTCAATGGGACTGGTCTCAATGGGTCTGGTCTCAATGGGACTGGTCTCAATGGGACTGGTCTCAATGGGACTGGTCTCAATGGGACTGGTCTCAATGGGTCTGGTCTCAATGGGTCTGGTCTCAATGGGTCTGGTCTCAATGGGATTGGTCTCAATGGGTCTGGTCTCAATGGGTCTGGTCTCAATGGGTCTGGTCTCAATGGGACTGGTCTCAATGGGACTGGTCTCAATGGGACTGGTCTCAATGGGTCTGGTCTCAATGGGTCTGGTCTCAATGGGACTGGTCTCAATGGGACTGGTCTCAATGGGTCTGGTCTCAATGGGTCTGGCGCCAGAGGGAACATGGGGCAGAACAAGATCACAGAGGTAGGAGCCGGTCTCACATGCTCCCATCTACGAGTTCCAGGAAAGCCTTTGGGAACTATTTTATTTTCTTTCTTATTTTAAATAAACCTTTGGGCATTCCTAAAAGTGACTGAGGTTTATGTTTTGTTCTGTTGGTATAAAGCCGTATAATAAGCGGACCCAGGACTGAGGCTTTAGACCCAGGACTGAGGCTGTAGACCCAGGACTGAGGCTGTAGACCCAGGACTGAGGCTGTAGACCCAGGACTGAGGCTGTAGACCCAGGACTGAGGCTGTAGACCCAGGACTGAGGCTGTAGACCCAGGACTGAGGCTGTAGACCCAGGACTGAGACTGTAGACCCAGGACTGAGGCTGTAGACCCAGGACTGAGGCTGTAGACCCAGGACTGAGGCTGTAGACCCAGGACTGAGGCTGTAGACCCAGGACTGAGGCTGTAGACCCAGGACTGAGACTGTAGACCCAGGACTGAGGCTGTAGGCCCAGGACTGAGGCTGTAGACCCAGGACTGAGACTGTAGACCCAGGACTGAGGCTGTTTGACATAATGAATGAAAGACACCATCAGAGCCTGTGCCGCTCACTCCCTCTTCGCTGCCCGCCTCGCGCACACACCTCTCCTCCTCCAGCAGCTGTCAGAACAACAGGTAGACAACAGGAGGCGCTGGGGTCGCGGCCCGGACACGAATAGCCAGCTTGATTGACGCTGGCCTTTGTGCACGCGCTCAGATCTGCTGCTGTTCTGACACTCGGCTGTAGAGCCGTAATGTGTGATCAGACGGAAAAGGGCAACGCATCATACACTCAGAGAGACACACGTCACACAGACACACACACACAGAGACACACAGAGACACACACACAGAGACACACGTCACACAGACAGACACACACACAGAGACACACAGAGACACACGTCACACAGACAGACACACACACAGAGACACACGTCACACAGAGAGACACAGAGACACACGTCACACAGAGACACACGTCACACAGACAGACACACATAGAGACACACGTCACACAGAGACACACAGAGACACACACACAGACACACGTCATAGAGACACACGTCACACAGACACATATCACACAGACACACACACACACACAGAGACGGAGGAGGTGGAGGAGGATGAGGAGGAGGAGGATGATGAGGGAAAGCGCAGGTGAAGATGAAGGCTTCAGAGAGGACATGGAGCTGTCACAGACGTCTGACCTTTTCTGACACAAACCAGCAACGCACTCCTCACAGTTGCAGGTCTGAACCATGGACCAGGACTGGTTTAGGAGTGTACAATTAAGATTAGGTCTCTCCCTGGTCTCTCCCTGGTCTCTCCCTGGTCTCTCCCTGGTCTCTCCCTGGTCTCTCCCTGGTCTCTCCCTGGTCTCTCCCTGGTCTCTCCCTGGTCTCTCCCTGGTCTCTCCCTGGTCTCTCCCTGGTCTCTCCCTGGTCTCTCCCTGGTCTCTCCCTGGTCTCTCCCTGGTCTCTCCCTGGTCTCTCCCTGGTCTCTCTCTGGTCTCTCTCTGGTCTCTCTCTGGTCTCTCTCTGGTCTCTCTCTGGTCTCTCTCTGGTCTCTCTCTGGTCTCTCTCTGGTCTCTCTCTGGTCTCTCTCTGGTCTCTCTCTGGTCTCTCTCTGGTCTCTCTCTGGTCTCTCTCTGGTCTCTCTCTGGTCTCTCTCTGGTCTCTCTCTGGTCTCTCTCTGGTCTCTCTCTGGTCTCTCTCTGGTCTCCCTCTGGTGTCTCTCTGGTCTCTGAAGTTCCCTCTGAATGAAGGCCTCTGATTGGTCAGTCCTTATATGGTCATATCTGGATGTACAAAGACCAGATCTCTCCTTCAAGGCAAATAAAACTAAGAAACTAAAACTATATTTTTGTTTGTGGAACATTCTCTAAAATCAGGAAAGTCCTAAAAGTGTCACAGAAAAACTGATCCAGGCTTTATCTCCTCAGGGCCTGACTGCAGCGCCCCCTGCTGGCAGCGTGCCCCAACACCTCTGTGAAGAGGTTTTGATGGGTTCGTGTTCTGCTCTCAGAGAGCACCTAGAGCTGCTTCGGTCCTTCTTCGTGTCTGTGTTTAGATGTTGGACCCCAAAGCAGAGACTGATACAGACAAAAGTTTGAAAAAGACTGGAGGCAGGTAGTGGAGGCAGGCGGTGGAGGCAGGGAACAGGCGGACTGGAACTCAGACTCTGGCGGTATCTGGGCACACGGGAGAAAAACAGGTAAGTATCCAAAAGGGAAACTGAAACTAGATCCAGCTGCTGCAAAGCTCCCGAGCACGATGGAATAATCTGGCAGTGAGGTGCTGAGAAATCCTGGTATTCATACTGGTCTTGATTAGTGATGACGCACAGGTGTTGAGACTCAGCACCAGGTGAAGCTAGCCACGCCCCTGCCACGCCCCTGCCACGCCCCTGCCACACACTGCTCTGCTGGAACAGAAAAACTCAGGGGGGAGGGGAACAGAACACAACCCAAACTCATAACAGTCTGTGCTCGTGCTGTAGCCTGAGTCCTGAGCTGTTCCTCTGATGCAGGAGTCTGTGGGACCCTGTGAGGGTCTGAAGGACCCTGTGAGGGTCTGAAGGACCCTGATGGTCCTGGACCCTCCTGGTCTCTGCTCCTCTCGACCAATGGCTCTGTGTGTTTGTTATTGTTGCATTTGAACTGATTGATTTTCTGATCTGTGTTGGTGAATCCACAACTTTGTGAAGTCCCGGTCGACTGATTCAGGGAAAGACTCTGAAGAGAGTTGAACCAATAATGTCACAGTGTCCCCTGAACTCATCTGAGGCGGAGGTCTTTCCCAAAAGCAAGAAGAAGCAGTGTCTGAGCCGCTGCTCAGACACTGGGCTGGAGCTCTGTATAGAGCCGCTGCTCAGACACTGGGCTGGAGCTCTGTACAGAGCCGCTCCTCAGACACTGGGCTGAAGCTCTGTATAGAGCCGCTGCTCAGACATTCTGGGTTCAACACTTCAGGTGATTAGTGCTGCTCGGTCACAAAGAGCCGCTGTGGACAAAGCTGAGGCTGAGGAGGAGAGACACGGGACAAAACAAGGTGATTCTGTTCATGGTTTGTTGGAAAAAACTTTATTTGTTTCATGATAAACAATAAGTCCTGGTTTTCCCACAGTTTGACTTGTGAGGGACCAGGACAGACCTGTGAGGGACCAGGACAGACCTGTGAGTGACCAGGACAGACCTGTGAGGGACCAGGACAGACCTGTGAGGGACCAGGACAGACCTGTGAGGGACCAGGACAGACCTGTGAGGGACCAGGACAGACCTGTGAGGGACCAGGACAGACCTGTGAGGGACCAGGACAGACCTGTGA